AAATTACGGTAACAAGAGCGCTAACAGAACATCTTCATTTCCTTCGAATCTAATAAATGCGTCTGGCTGAACAGACCCCGGAGTGAAATCACTGGACACGTGCAATTGGTTTTGCAAAACTTTTCGTATCCGTGGCATAAGCGATGAGTGGCAACCTTATTCTTCCATTTCAAAGCAAGTGGGGGTGAAAATGTAGCTCGGGGGGAGCCACTCATAATATCTAATCAAAGTGGCAATATCTAATCGAAGTGGAGTTGCGGAAGGGCGGTCATATCTAATCAACATTCAGAGCACAGGCTCTGAGCGCACGATTAGATATGGATACCAACCCGGGATTCCGTACAAAATCGGATACCTGAAAGGCCCTTTCGCCAAGGGCTTGCATGGCAATCGCAAGAAGGGTTGGTGAAAGTGAAGAGTCAGCAAGGTGGCAGTCGTTTTTGTTATAGGACAAAGGTAACAAGGGTACGAGTGCCTTCCCGCAACTATACTTTGATTAGATATGAGTGTCTTCCGCTACCCCACTTCGATTAGAAAGGGTGCCCCCCCCCCGAACTACATCTTCAAGCAAGTGGGATTATTTTCCAGTGGAGTCTACTGAAGACGATGGGCTGCTACAAGTATCATTAAAGCATCGATGAAAATTAAGAAGATCCCAGGGAAAGCTCGATGTCACCTACCTACGCAAGCAAGCGCCGATGCGATTTCCAGATATGATTTCACTCTGTAGGGTACGGTAGAAACGCAGAGAGCGGCCGCCTGTTTAAGAAGTGATGTTGTATTCTGTTTGGTGATTACTTTATCTTGCTACCCGGGAATTTTGGCCGCCCTTACATATTCGCTTTGCTACCGTAATTTTTGCCTACCCTGTGTATAATCGCGGAATATGCCTTCAAAGGAAGCCTTTCCAGATGTTCGACAGATGCATACCTTTTGCCACAGATCCAATACGACACTAAGAGCCTTTCGGCTTTCACGGACGCGCAAGTGTTCAAGTATGCTGACAAGGTCTGACGAGGCTCTATTCTTGAAGTCGATTGCTTAGATCCGACCACGTTCAGGTTCAATTGTACTTCACCTGCACGGTTCAGCTGTGTTACAAACACGACGGAGGTTGCGACGGAGTGACGGTGCAGTAATTTTGACTCTTATCGTTTTTTTTTTTTTCTCTGAAGAACAGAACGGCAGGAAGGCACGAAAAAGAGTAGCCCCGTTGTGCTTGATATTTTAACATAATTTAATATTACTATAGTAATATATTCAAGTATTAGTATTATTATTTTAACATATTTCAATACATTGTATCATTTTAACAAAATTTTTCCTTGTGATCGATAGATTGGGCGTATAGCTTTCCGAGTATGCGCGAGAGCTTGATGAAGCACCTTTCGCAGCCACTATCTCACGCTTTCCAAAATCGAAAAAAAGCATGTCTGCTTTTCAGCTCTTCCCCAACAGTGTCTGGGATATTGCAAGTGAGAGAATTCAGGGTTGAGGTCTTCTGTAAGGGTCGTTGTGTGTGAGCATCTTCGTGAGCGTCTGGAGACTATGATCTAAAAGCTATTCAAATCTATGAAGGGACTCTCGAAATAGATATGTCATGTATATAATATACGATATAGAAACGAGTGTCTAGCTAGGCGATGGTAGCCAGTAGGAAGGGTTGATATTTTTAGTGATCCTCCCTTGATATGGTTGAACAAGGTTAAGAGCCGAGACTAGTCAATGAGTGGTATAGGCGGAGTTTGCGTAGAACGCAAACGCCGCCTATACCATCTGCGCGCGACGTGATTTTGAGGGTTCTCAGCAGATTTCATCCACAACTTGTGGATATGTTACCACATTAGCTTCCAAGACGTCGTTACCAGCAGTGCATCATGACAAATGTAAAGTCCCTTAGCGTCCTTACCAAAGTTGGTCTGATCGTGGGAGCGTTAGAATATGAACTCTCCAGTTCTGAGGGATGCACCCTGACCTGGATTTTCGTGCTTCAAGCGACATATAGTTTTGGCCCTCGAAAATGATGTTACACAAACTTAATGACAGTGACCGCGACGGATGGGAGGCGGAGTCAATTTGAGTACTTCAATAGTTATAAAAAAAGCCATGAAGAGTCGTTCCGATAACAGCCTCAGCACGCCTCATGACAATCTTCCACAAGGACGCCTTGAAAATGACTCCGCCGTCAGCCCGTATAGCATACATTATCAGCGGTTTCCAACTTTAACACATTGACGACCGCGCGCGTTTTGGCTTTTTTGGCCGTGTGGGACCGGGCCGATTTTGCGAGTGCGACCGCCGCACCTCGGATCCGTGAATTTTTATTGATAACTTTTTAAAGCACCAGTGGTACAAAAACATCTCAGTAACAGTCAATGCGTAGAAGGTAATAGAGTATATAGTGACGAAGTTCCGATTAAAGAACATGTAATGGTAATGAAAAAGGAAACTTTAGTCATTTTATCTGTAGTGGATGCCAAAAGCTCTTTTGATGTGGTTATACCAAGTGAAACATGTATTTTTCTGTCTCTTTAGATTTGCATTTACTTTCACTACCCTTTTTTATTGACGTGTTCATGAGAATAGCATGAAAACTATTAATGAACCAAGCCGCCGGTTTCGGTGAGCTTGGAAAACTTCTTCTAAACTGGAGCATATTTGAACAAACAATGACCTATGTCGTTCACAATAATGTTATGTTCTAATCCATAGAAGAGAGACAAACAATTCGGGAAAAAGCTGCGCATGCCCTAGAAAAAGGGATGATAAGGGTGAGACGCGGTAACGCGTCTCAATGTCCAACGAGGTGCGCAAAGTGAGACGCGTTACCGCGTCTCAATGTCGTCAATGTGTTAAGGATTTGGTTGTGGATGGCTTCAACAGTTCAACCCATTTGATTTTCGAATATTCCATGCACTGAAAGGCTAATTTTAGCCGCCGGCGTGCAACAAAGGTGACCCTGAACATCTTCAACACTTGGATGGCTTTCCAAAGGAAAGTACACCAGCTGTGGGACCACCGTTCAGGATCCCCGACTTCCCGCAGAGCATTCCATTCGAACACATTAATGGCAATGGGTATCCAGAAACAGAGTTGGCCTCTCCTAATAATGGTGATCACGGAAATGGCGACTTCCTCGAAAGTCTTTTCAGTGGACCACCGTCGCGAGAAAAGAACTTTTTCGGACCAATTGACAGGACGAAGGATTTCAACAGGTGCGTACTTTTGAGTTTATTTGTTGAGAGGCTTCTCAATATTGCTTATTTGAATTGAACCAACAAGTCCAGATAAAGAGATGTGACGGCATTTCTTTGAAGCTGAATAGTAATATTACTAGCTGATCAATGCTACTGCGCCCACTAGATTGCGCCAGGCATTCGACCCGTTCTTCCGGGTGAAACTCCAGTTCGGGGGGGCCACTCCATTGCTATCTTATCCGTAGTACTAGAGAGCAGTTCTTTGGGCTATCGAACACTACGGATAAGATATAAGTGAACGACTCATTTCGAGCGTACTTTTGATAAGGACCGGTGGATGTCCTACATTCCACACTACCTGCCCACATCCCATCCACTTTTCTGCACAGGTGATCCACCCTGGAGCTCCTGCACCCTTAGCCCTTTGCGGAGGTGTCCTTTCTCCTGGTCCAGGACCGTTCCCTTGGGTCATGGCAGGCGGAAATGTGAAAACGTTTCAGGGTTTCTCACCCATTACACCAATATTTATCAGAAGTCTACTTTAAATGAGTCGATTACGTGTCGTGAGCCCTCTAATCCTTATCTTGAGTATTGGAGAAAAAATGGAGTGCCCCCCCCCCGAACTGGAGTTTCACCCCTTCTTCACACTCGTAGACTGAATACCCGATAATCATTCGAAAGCGTGTCCTGTCAATATGATGGCTATAACGCTTTGTCTAGCCAGTCTTTGTATCTTCTTCCATCAATGTGAGAGAGGGTCAGGGAAGCGATTATAACTACCATATACAGGGGGGGCCAAAAAAAAAGACATTTTGCCTCCACTTCCAGATGGATTTAAGCACATTTTACTCAACTCAGACCGAACGGTTCCAACTTATTATTAAAGAGTGCATTCCATTCTATAAGAAAATCTTCATAGTGGCCACGTACGTGGACGGCATCAGAAGAATTAGCCCTGGAAACATGGTGCACTGGTCGATCTCAATGGGGTCTTCGAAGGATCGTGTACCATAACGACCCTTACTGGAAAGCTAGTTCCGAGGGGATTTGCACAGTGGTAGCTAATGCCTCTAGAAAACTATCCAACATTAAATCGATTCACGAAATTGCGTAAGAGCTTCAGGCTGAAGCTCTTACGGTAGACCTCCTTGAGCCTGACGACGGTGACAGATGACGTCATATTCTGAAGACGGTGAGGGCAGTGAAGGAGGGCCTGCGTACACTATAGAGGGACACTTAGGGAATACTCTGCTGAGGAACTCCCGTCAACGACAGCAATCTCTGCGAAGAAAAAAGAGCCGAAGTCCGACATAGGCAAAATGTCTTTTTTTTGCCCCCCCCCCCCTGTATATAACATAATATCATCGGGGTTATACGAAGTTACGGCTTCTGCGGGGGAGGAGCGAAAAGTTTTGAGAATGGGTCAATCTCTGATACTGTTGAATGTTGTTCTTTCTTCATTTTCTCCAATAAGAGTATCATGACACATTGCAGCAAGCCATACAGAGATAGTCCTCTTAATGAAACCGATATCGTCGATGTCTCTTTTGCCAGCGAAAACCTGACGGTAATAGGTAAGTGAGAATTCACGTTACGTTCTCCATCTTAGTTCCGAGTTCAATTTATTTGACCTTTTTTTTTTGTATCAAGGCAGAGTTGCCGATCTGCAGACACATCGTGAAAGTACTATCTTGGCCCTTGAAACCTTATACTAGCCGTACAGGCTTCTTGACTGATGCGGCTGGATTAGTTATGGAAGAAAAACCTTCATTTTTGAAACACTCAAAACGTTTTTTTTAGAAAAGACTTAAAATATGAGACTTTTCAAAACTCGGAAAGGAAGAAATTAGGTTGTTTGAAGGTAGATACTGGTAAAACGAGCAGATCAAACTGGCATATCAAAGGATAGAAACTTACAGTTTGAAGGCTGCAGAAAGCGCACGAATTTAACTTCAGTTTGGATAGAGGAGTTTTGCACAGTTTGCTTGATTGAAAGGCCTGCATGAGTATGTACACTGCGACGCATAATTATAGTTCCACCTACAATTTCAGTACCCGGCTGGATATCATTTTCTCACGATACGGCGCTTATCTCAGTCGGATAGTAATCAGGGTTCCTCCCAGTCATATCCTGTAGCATCCTTGAGAAATTTGTTCGTTATGAAGTCACCCCGACAAATTCCAGCGGAGCTGACACTTTGACAATTCCTGCGTCTCTTTTGCTAGGATTTCCCTTTTACGGAAGTGTGACAGCGGTTTTGCCTTTGCTATAAGCTAAGGAACTTGAATAATTCCAAATTTTGATTGGGTAAAAGCAAAATGCAGCGGAGAAGCTAAAGCGGATATTTTCGAAAAAATAAGGATAAAAAATTGTTGCTTTCTCAAACTGGATTTCCGTGTTAATATTCAGATTCGCGTTTATATGTGTCACAATTTATCTGTAGAGCCTTTTCCAAAAACATCCCCAGATTCAAGTTTTTGGGAAATTTGTAGGTGGAACTATAATTATGCGTCGCAGTGTATTTCCTTTTCTTTTTCTGGAAGAAAAATCGAATGCTCGCAACTATGACATTAGGAGGTATTACTTTGAACCGATTTTTCTAGGAAAAAAATTAGGTTGTTCGAAGGTACATACTTGTAAAACGAGCAGATCAAACTGGCATATCAAAGGATAGAAAACTTACAGTTTGAAGGCTGCAGAAAGCGCACGAATTCAACTTCACTTTAGATAGAGGAGTTTTGCACAGTCTATTTGACTGAAGAGCTTGCATGAGTAAATATTCATTTTATTGAAATTCCATTTTTTTGCTTCCAAGCCATCTTGGCGTGGCCATTTTTGAATTGTGGCGTTCGAGCGCGTATGCGTATGCGGTACGGATGTTAACAGCGACGTGAAACGGAAGGGAACCTGTACTGTGAAGTAAAAAGGGGCAAGAAGTTTAAAGAGCTTGTTCTACTTTCTCGAGCAGTTGTTTTCCCTCAAGCGTTTGTGAGCTTAAAGGGAGGATTCCATAATAAGGAAGAAGGTCGAAAAAGGGAAATTACCTAGTGGGAAGATAGGTGTACTCCTTACTGGTGCGGACCGACACGCAATTAGCAGCGAAAGAAGAACTCCGTTGATCTAGCTTTGTATTCTCCGCTGCGTCGAGGCGGGTACATCCACCTGCTCCGCTGGCTAACGCTCGCCGTAGTTTTCTTAGCGTTTAGCAGAGAGAGAGTGTTAGCGTTGAAGAGAGCAGCCTCACCAATGAGAGGTTCTACATGAATTCAGGAAATCACGAGCAGAGAAGCGTTCCATCCTCTGGTTCTCAAACGTTTTCTTCATCACACGCAGCACTGGCCACCTCCACTTGAGTCAAATGAGGCGTACCTTTTAATCGCGAACTCCAGCATAGAGCATCGTTACAAATATTGAGGGACCAAGCCGGGTTCTACATTCAGCAGGAGGGGGAACGGCATTGTGATTGCACAGAATGCCGAAGGGGTTTCCTCCTTACAGAAAATGGAGTACTGTAAGAGGCACGGTACTGTTAAGACGCGCTTTAGTGTACTTACATGCCACCTTTCCCGTCTTGTTGGAATTAAGCTAACAAGGAAAGGCTCCCAGATCGCCATTAACATTTCAAGCGCTGATTTCAAACTCTACCTTCCAAACGATCTGTTACAACGATTCTTCTGAGGGAGGCGAGATGAGCAAAATAGTCGCAACAGAGGTTGGAGGTGGTGCCAGTCAAAACGTGTAGGATCGGCCTCTGCGAACGCGTCTACGGTTTACCTCCTTCTGAGAGTACAGTAAAAGGCTTGCGATAAGGCCGTGTTTAGCCGTAATTCCTGAAGAACGCAAGACAGTAAACGCGATCAGGGGCCGATCCTACGACGTTTGACTGCAAATCCCGACCACTGCCGTTGCGCTGTTTTGCTTCATAACTCCCTTCAGAGAATCGTTTAGCAGATTTGGAAGGTAGATTTGAGATCAGCGTTCAAAGGCACATCTAGTGGTATACATCTCTTCTTGAATGGCCATGGCGACCTGGGAGCCTTTCCTTGTAAGAGAAGCCTATTTGCAGATACAAACGACAAAACTAAGAAGAAGAGAAGAGACCTGAACATGGAGACTGATCTCAGTATAGACGTCATCGTGCTGCCTTTTGAAAAGACAAGTATGTTTGTCATTGATCAATCAAATTTCATGTCAAATTTCATAGGAGTGCTACATAAGTATCTACTTCCTCAAAATTGACTATATACGCAAAAAATCAACGCATATTGCCGGTGTCACACGTGCGAATGCTCGATTCGCAAAGTGTGGACACCTGGCATTTGTGGGAGGACACGGCGCTCAGACGGGAGTAGGCGTCAACCGTCACGTTTGCGGATGTCAAAATTCCAAAATTGTCCGGTTCCCCCCCTCCTCCCCCCTCAGAGGATTTGCCTCACGACATCCTCCACCCACCTCCGCTGCCATCGCGCACAGGGGCGCTTCCATAGTATCTGATTCTTCGTAGAGACACTCCGACACAAGCCAAACTCCGCCCACTTTTCCTCCAAAATTGGGAAATCGCCGTCAATTAAAACTATTCGTCATTTTACAAACCTTAAAGGAATCTTCCACGGACCATGGACCAGTGGGCGGGACCGGAAGTGGTTTTGCGACGAAATGCATGGTAGGTACGGATCCACGTTCATGGGAAGGTTTGAAGTGAATCCTGTTCACGTTCGTGCGTTCGACACGTGGATCCGTACCTACCATGCATTTCGTCACAAAAACTTCCGGTCCCGCCCACTGGTCCATGGTCCGTGGAAGATTCCTTTTAAGAAATCCCAGCCTGACAACCTAATCCGCTCTCCGTTCCATAAAAAAATCATCCCTTCCCTTCTTGTAACATTAACGGTACTCGCGAAATACGACCCCCCCACCCCCTCGTTGCACTTTGTCCAACGGACGGTGACCCAAGGGGGCTCGTCTATTTGTGTTGGAAGACGCTACTTAAAAGTAGTTGACTGTGCAGCAGATAAAGATACAGGATAAAGATGTGCCACCACAATCGAGGTTTCCCTCGTTTCACACCACTTTGCTGACAGAGGTCGTCTACCACGAATTACACTAATGGTTCAGAATCCGGTCGTCCAATGCCTCCGGCTACGCATATTTGCGTCTCACGGACCGCTTCAATCCTGCTTCTACTGGCCAGCATAATCACAACGGCTCTTTTCGTGGTCGTTACGGTCATCGTCAGCAGACGATCGCCTTCCTATCAGAAAGCCATGGATGCGTTCCATTAAATGTTTCCAAGATTTGTGGAATGTCACACAGGTCGTCTGTATTATGCAATATTTTCTGTGCTATATTCCTCATCACCGTCCTTAAACGGGGAATGTTTCTTGAAAAAAGATTTTAAATCTCAGTGGATCATTTTATCTCGTGTTGAAGCAGAACGACTTCACAAAAAGCACGATTTTTCACTGTCCAAGTGTAAACGCGATTCATCAATTAGAATCGCTGAAGACCATTTGTTTCTAAGGAAACAGCAGCGTGCACTACTGTCGTATGGAAGCAGGAGCTAGGGTTAAAGGCTTTCTCAGTTTACTGCACGATAGCGTACGAGTTACGAAAGAATAGCAAGGTTGCGTCTATACTTGCGAGCAACTGCTTCATGTAAAACATGCATACTTATCGATTATTCGCTCAACGTACCACAAAGGAGAGCAAGTTCACTAGTCTTTTATATTTCTGAGAACCATCCACTTGAGGTCATTCCCTTTGATGCTCGCTTCCAATGACGACAGCCACATACCGCTCATGGTGCTCAACAACACTCCATCTCGAGAGTTGATCCGAGTCGTACCGCGAACACTGTAGTTATCACGTTCACATTATATGGATTATGCAGTGGATGTGACATATACTGGGGTGGGCAAAAGTGACGGCAAACACAATCAAATTGGCCATAGAAAACCGATGTGATCAAAACAACACCACCACCCTGTGGGAAGAGGTTCTAATAGGGCGAATACTACCCTTATGTTAACGCTTTCCAGAATTGATGCATAAATGAATACTTCCTTGAAAACTCATCGCTCTGTTGTGTGGGTAGGTGTTGTAGGGTAGGTCCAAGCAGGGTCAACCCTACGTTGCTACAAGTAGCAACGGGGGTCGTACTTGAATGGACTTAGGGGGGGGTCGTAGGTAGCACGAAACATGGGTAATGAGAGCGCGCTGGAGAAAATCCCCCCCCCCCCGCTTGACGGTGTTTTTGAAGGGAAAAAGTGGTTGTGAAGAGGGGTCGTATGAAACTTCTCGTGAAGGAGGGGGGTCGTAAAAATTTTGCAAAAAGTACCAACGATAGGACCGACCCTGGGTCAAGGCTTTCAAGAAACGCTGCTTAACCTGACGATGTTCAATCATGTATAGCGCGGTTTTTCTTCGAACTTATCGGAGCATTTCGTAGATTTGATTCAGAAGAAAACGATGTTGCATGTCTCAATATCAAAATTCCTCAGAAGCCTAGATAGATTACCAATTTTTTTTTCTAAAGCTCGACAATATATGGAATATGAATATTGGATACCTGTTTCAATAAAACAGAGTCCACGTGCCCACGTTTTCTCCATTGTGTTCCGACTCATCTGAACGCTCCACACAGTGCAACGTCGCTTCGCCATTGGTCGGACGAAGGGTATCGCATTTGCTTGATTTTACTCTTGAAAACGGGGGGAGCTATACAGGGGGGGGGCAAAAAAAGACATTTTGTCTCCACTTCCAGATGGATTTAAGCACACTTTGCTCAATTCAGACCGAACGGTTCCAACTTATTATTAAAGAGCGCATTCCATTCTATAAGAAAATCTTCATGTTGGCCACCCACGTGGACGGCATCAGAAGAATTTGCCCTGGAAACATGGTGCACTGGTCGAGCTCAATGGGGTCTTCGAAGGATTCTGTACCATAAACGACCTTTACTGGAAAGCGTTTCGAGGGGATTTGTATAGTGGGAGCTAACGCCTCTAGAAAAGTATCCAACATTAAATCGATTCACGAAATTGCGTAAGAGCTTCAGGCTGAAGCACTTACGGTAGACCTCCTTGAGCCTGACGACGGTGACAGATGACGTCATATTCTGAAGACGGTGAGGGCAGTGAAGGAGGGCCTGCGTTCACTTATAGAGGGACACTTAGGGAATACTCTGCTGAGGAACTCCCGTCAACGACGGCAATCTCTGCGAAGAAAAAAGAGCCGAAGTCCGACATAGGCAAAATGTCTTTTTTTTTTTGCCCCCCCCCCTGTATGTGGTCAGTAAGTCGCATGGCTGACGCCTGTTGTCCGACCGAAAGCTTTCAACGAAATAGGTTTAAATCAGGGCAAAATTGAGTTGTTCGCAGGTCCAGGAACAAATTCTATCCCGCCTCCCCCCTCCCCCGCCTTCCCCTTTCGGCCGTTGGGCGGAGTTTGGAGTGTTGATTGGTCCCAGAATCAAATGCTATACAAACAGCCACGATAGTGAAGGCGAAATTGTGGCAGGAGAGAAGAGGGTATTGTATTAGGAGAGTCCCATCCTGATGTTGATGGGTGGGGGGAGGGGAGAGGGGATCGTGAAATTTCTGGGAAAGTGCGGACACTGCGGTTGACCCTGGCTCCACAGCGTCAAGGAACTGTTACGCAGGGTTCAAGACAGTCAAAACGCGATTAATATTAAATGTTTTGTATTGGGATGGTTCTGAAATCTTGGAATGATCCTCTCTCTACATGCTTTTGATCGTGCTAATCAGCTGCTATTCAGTAGTTGAATTTTGAATCAAGGGTCCCCTCATGCAGCTCCTACCATACAGCCGTCACTTTACATAGGTTATAACCCGTATAGAAAATTGTCTGTCAGCTCATTCCTTCGCCATCCCATTCGAGGCCAAGCGTCCTTGAAAACTCCAGCCTTCTCGACAAAGTGATGATTTTCTGTAATTCTCTTCGCGAAAGCCTTGACAAAATGGTGGTGATGAATCATTTCTCCACAGTTGCACCCTAAGTATGCGCCTCATTCGTGCAGAGTTTCGTTAAAGGAATCTTCCACGGACCATGGACCAGTGGGCGGGACCGGAAGTGGTTTTGCGACGAAATGCATGGTAGGTACGGATCCACGTTCATGGGAAGGTTTGAAGTGAATCCTGTTCACGTTCGTGCGTTCGACACGTGGATCCGTACCTACCATGCATTTCGTCACAAAAACTTCCGGTCCCGCCCACTGGTCCATGGTCCGTGGAAGATTCCTTTGAGAAGGGTACGCGCGGAACTAGTATTAAACAAAAATCTGATAAAGAAGTAAGGTCATTATGTGAAGCGATTTTCGGGCTTAACTATAGAGGTCAATATTAAGGAAGAGAGAAATGGAAATTTCATAAGTAAAAAAAACAAAATTGAAAAGGAAGTAAATTAACACTCAGAGCGACACATGCGCAGAAGCTATCGAAGCAAGCTGCGATCGTGAATACAGAAATCTATTTATCAAACGGTCAATCTTTTATTTCTTTTGCTTTTACCAAGGACTCGGCGGGAGTATTATTTCAAAATAAGCTGCCACGATGCCAGCAGAGCAGCCACTTTGAGCAAGCATTCAGCAAAAATTTCGGAGCTACTGAAGGTTCCTGGAAAGGTCAGAAAGCTGGACAAATACACACCATATGGGCTGATTGAGCAACAGCAAAGTCGTCCTACGGAAATCTCGTCACAACTCGTTTTACTCAGCAAAGATGCCCGGCTAATGGAACATTTCGTCATCCTTGCCGAAAACTATTACGATTCTTCGCAGCCCAATTGAGCAATTTTCTAAATATCTATGCAGCGAAAATCATCAAATCTTTTCCAAGGCGGAAATCCCACAAGTTGAACCACACTGATGGTTTCGTGGCCTCCCAAAGTATGATGCATCGCAGCTCTCTGGCCCCAAGTGAACCTGATACAATATCAAGGTCTGTCCATCACACCGGCGTGATCTATCGAGAACAGCAAGGTCTCTATCCAGGAGAAAAAAGACTGTTCTACATGTTGACGCCCATCCGCATGTCCCACGAAGCACAAACTTCACTAAAATTTTATTTTTTCTCCATAACTGGAACGCTCTACAGTCTTCAAGTTTAAGTTAATAACTATCAGACAGCCGAATCCTTGTGGACACCGATTTTCCTTAACTTTTGACAATATATAAATTTAAATAAAGGGTACTTGGTCAATACAATAGGTCCACGTCGCACCGTTTTCGTCGCCTGTGCGATCGTCGAACGCTCGCTAAGTGAGCGCGCTGCCCTTGAAAACTCTAGCCGAGACGAGACGAGATCTGAGCAAATTTTATTACTATATTATTATATATTATTTTATTATTATTCGTTTCATCATCAGGTCTGAATGAGTGTTGTTTGGTATGCTATTCCACCTATCGCGGCACCGCTCAACATCATGTGCTGAAACAGACGCAATCCCTGTCATGCGCACCACCACAGAAAATTCCTGAGAAAGAAATAGAATACTCCATTAAGTAATTTCACTTTTTGTGACGTTCCTGCTTGCGTCATCGTCTGAACCTCAATTCTGGACAAGCCATTATGTGACGCGATTATGGGCCGAATATTAAGGAAGAAAAATTGGAAAGTCTCATAAAGGATAAAAAGGATAAAGCATTTGCCGTTGATCAATCCCTTTTTGGGATGCGGCACGCATTCTACTTCCATTTGTACATTCGTAGTGGCGTTTGAATGCGATGTGGCCTATACAATGACTTGCGGGGGCCAGCCGATGTACAAGTCAGTGTTTTTATCCTCCCAGACAAGTCTGGTACCAATTAACCGACCCCGGAGGGATGGAAGGCTTGGTTGGCCCGGGCGACTCACGACCCAGGATTTGATCCCCGGACCGCTCGCGTGGTAAGCGTGCCACTTGCCACTACACCACTTCCGCCCAAAGATAGTGAAGAAAATAGCAATTGAAGAAAGAAGAAAAAGCATACTCACAGGGTAGGTCCTTCTAGGTCATAAGAGGCGTTTTCGAAATGTGACGTCTGGTTACGTCAAGAGAGCGGGAAAGAAATGGTCCAAAGTTCGGTCCCTTGTGACGACAAATTTTTGCGATTCATGTTGGCGCTTTCAAATTGCCACAAACACGACAATGGCAATAGACATAACTACAACTGGCGTTTCATATTTATAGGTCACCTAAAATTTTACTATTCCAAATTTGCTGTGCATTTTTGGAAAATGCCGCTATTACCAATAGATTCCCATAACGAAAAACCTTGATACTA